CCTTTTAGAAACGTGCAGGTATCAACAAAATCTCGAATCTTTTTGATGATTATACGAATATTACGCAGCCCTAACGTGGAGCACGTTGAAAATAAACGATATTGCGTAGCTTAACATTTCTCATCTGGTGATTGTATTATCCGATGAAAAAAACATACTTCATAGTTTTATTTTCAAGAAATCTCGGGTTGTTTACAAAGAATAAAATCACTGTTGCGTATCTTCATCACCCAATAAATCATCTGCATTAGTTTGCTTTTGATGATTGTCATCATTACCATTATTGCTGCCACCAATTTTACCTTCAACAGGTTGCACTTTTGCAATTTCCTTCAGTACTGGTACTGGACCTCTAAAAATTTTTTGAAATTTGCTAAATGGAAAATTATTAAAATTTAAAATAAAAACTTATCATAAGCTATAATTTACAATTTTACTTTTATTTTATATTTTTTATTATTTTACTAGTGATACTAATTTAATTATATAATATTTTTCTCTTTTCTTTTATTTTCCAAAAGTTTTGTTTATTATTTGAGAATTTTGAAAGTTAGAGAGAAAGAGAAAAAAAGATAAAATTGGTCAAAAAATTGAAATGAAATTTCAAAAGCAATAAAACATATGAAAGAAATAAAAGGTAAGATTTTCTAGGAAGGAACGTACGAATCAAGCGTAATTTTGTCATGTTTCTCGTTGACGTTATTATTCAGATGACGGTTTATTTCATTTTTACCAGAAGTTGCAGGATAGAGACGTATCGGTGGTTCATTTGGTGTACTATCTTCACTCATAAACGCCGCTAAACGTTTACTCTTAAATGAACCAACTAATGTTGGCGTTAGCAAACTTAATGCAAGCATTACAGCTCCGGTAGCAAACATACATAAACCTGAAAATTGATTAATTTATAATTTGGTAATTGTTTTTTTTTTTTAATTTATTTTACTTTCATATTCTGATTTTACTTTCATGAAATTTAAATTTAAATAACACCAGAAAATACTTTTTGGCTAAGATTAAAATTTTTGTAGTAAAATTGAAATGTTCGTTAAATTAAATTTCAGAAGAATAAATGACAATAATTCAAATGTTATATTTGAAGAGTTATTTCAACGAAAAGCATAAAATTGACTAATTTTTCCAAAATTTAAATTAAATTTAAAATTAAATCATTCCTTATTAAAATTATAATTTTTAGTCAGTTCATAAAAGAAAAGAAATTAAAGGAATTAATTATTTAAGAAAAAAAAAGTATAAAAGTGACAAAATTTCCTCCAACTTTTCAACACAAATTATTTATTATGAAAGTAACAAAAAAAAATTTTGAGAATTATCTTTAAGTATTTTTAAGGAGGAAATAAAATCGAACTATTTCCTATTTTAAGTATTTCGATAAATTTTATTCAAAAAAAAAAAAGGTTTGCTTCTGTATTCCTAAGAGATCACTTGTAGTAGAAATGCAATTGATCTGTATAGAAATGATACAGTAATATGTTAATTGAATTATCAAATCAATTTACATTGAAATTTTTACACTTTCAACTTTTTCCCCTTCTCTTAAATAACTCAAAATTGCAATTTTTATTTGAACTAAATTAAATTTTTGAAGAATTTCTGATGAAATATTCTGTTGAAATTTGAAATCGATAATAATAAATGTAGCAAATTTTCTATGCATAAAAATTAGAATTAATATTTTGAAAAATTTTTGCAAAATACTTCACAATATAAGTTTGTTGAAGGAAGCGGAAATGGAAGAATGAAATATCTAACCAAACATTTTCCAACGACGCATCGGATCCTTCACTATTTCAGCAAGTTTTTCCGGTGGAACATAAAAATTTCCATCATCATCCTGAAATTTTAAAAAATGGTGAAAAGAAATTGATGGGAATTCAAAATTGGAATTGTATATTAGGAAAAAATGATGGAAAGTATGAATTAATTTTATCATACTGAAAGGGTTAAAAGTTACTAATACTACTTTTGATAAATAATTATTTTCCTTTGAAAAGCAATCACATAATTCTCTCTGATTTCCGTATTGCAAATTATCTAGGTGATGAAATTATTTTCCGTTCATATTATTTTACCAGGTGATGATATCATTATAAAATTGTATGTCATGATAAAATGATGCCAAATATCACTATCAGGTGATATTATCATCACCGAATGACGAGATGGTACCGCTACTGCCACCTGGCATTATCAATTATCATTAATATTAATATTATCACTATTAAGCGATACTATAAGTATCAAGTGATGCTAGCATCATGAGATGATACTACCATTGTTAGACGGTGCTACAAATATCTGATTACATTAGCACTATCAAATGATGCTATCATTATCGCTGTCAGACTATCAGATTATATTACATTGTCAGATTAAATATTAAATTATCAGATAGTATCATCATTTTTGGATGATATCATTATAACCAAATGACGAGATAGCACTATCATTTTGTTATCACTAGATGATATTATTATTATTATTGGGGTGATATTATCATTAATGAATGATAACAGGGGAATAATCTAAATTCACTTATAAATCTTTATTTGTTTTTTTAAACTGATAGCTAATTTTAAAATTAGATTTTTTGTTAATTATAATTTTAGAATAAGTCTAAATTTTTTCTACGTAAACATTTTTTTCGATTACTTGAAAGATAGCAATTCGCGCAATCGATTCTTCCACTCCTTCATGAGGCCAAGTATATCCGATAACAATAGCGACCGCTCCGCCAATCAGTAGGATTAGACCAAAAACAGTCAACAAACGACAAACCCAAAGTCCTGTTCGTTGTGCTGATGGCGGTGGCAAAAGATACCTTAATAGAAGTTTTAAAATTTATCTATATTTGAAAGGAATTTATTTATATTCAAAAGATACCTCAAATTTACCTGTTTATATTTTGTTTATGAAAAAAAACTTTTTGATGTATCATTTTTTAACATGTAAATCAGGATGAAACAATAATATCTAAAAGTGCTTTATTATTTGTTGAGTTTTAAAAAGATATTTCTATAATTTGCTGAGATATTTCTAATAAAGTTTGGTCTGATATATAACTTTTGCTTTAATAAAATTTAAGAATCGAATAACCCTTTAATTTTACGTTAATTAATTATATCTCTTTGAAAATGCTAATTCTCTTTTCCTACGAAAAATTCTTTCTCCCTTCTAATTTTTCACTATTTAAAGTTTTCATAAATCAAAATCATCGCTAAAACGTTTTATTTAAACGATTACTAATACCAAATTAATGAATGATAAATTATATTATATTATTATCTAATATTAACTATTATATTATTATATTGATTATATTATATTATCTAATCACTTCTTGTTTTGTTATTTACTACTTTTTTAACATTTACTGTTTTATTGTTCTAGAAATTTTGGAGTAAGTGAATATAAAAATTTCATCTATCATTTGTAATAATATTTGTTAGAAAATTTATTTATTAAAGGAAGAAAAAAAATCATTCCTTATTGTTGATGAAATTTTATTAATCATTTCTTATTGTTATTGAAATTTTATTAATCATTTCTTATTGTTGTTGAAATTTTATTCAACCATCAAAATGAAATTATTCTATCATTTTACATAATATTTGTGCAAATATGCAATATTTTTGCTTTCACAAATTCTTAGTTTAATAAAAATATTCGAATTAATAAGTATGACGATAATTAGTTGTACTGCGAATTGCTCATTTAATGAATAAATAAATAAATAAATAAATAAATAAATAAATAAATGTATATATAAACATTTTTATTATTATTATAATATATATATGTGTATACCAAGCTCCAGCAGATTCCATATCTTCAACAGCTGGTGATTGATAAAATTGATGAAGATAAGATCGTATTCCGAAACCTGTTGCCGGAGCTGTTACACCATCGAGCAGTGCCGTAGGCTTTGAATTTCCTAAAATTCAAACACATTTGAACATTTATAACAATTTGAAATCTTTTCTTTATATTGTTCTTTTTAAAATTATTTTAATTTTTTGAAAACAAAAGTTTTTTTTCAACATTTTATTTTAATTTAATCATTGTTATTGATTATTCATTTTTTTTTCTTTTATTTTTTCAAATTAACTTTATGAAATAATTTTTGAAGAAGATAAAAGAGACAATAAAGTTTGTTAGCTTATAACATACCATTATCAGGCGTATCTTCTTTTTTGGAGGACCATCCACGACCAAATATGGTCATTGCTGGCTACCTACCTTTGTTATATCAGCCAATTTTAATTGTAAGCCTATAAATTGAACAGCAACTATGTAATTGCTTGCTACAATTATAAAACAATAAGAAAAGATGAAAAAAAAACTAACAATTAAAATAGAAATACCTCTAATTTTTATACGAGATATTATCATAAGATACTATAAAATAAAAAAATGATAAATAAGAATTAATATTGTAAATTGGAAATCAAATAAGAAATGTTCAATAATTACATAAAAAATTAAATGATATTTAATTATTGTATTTTTGCATAAAAATGCTCACGTTATTTTCTATCAAATTTCTTTCATTACGACAATCCTTCCCTATTTTATAGTTTAAAAATTTTTGCATTTAACTAATTCGAAAATTTGCACATTTAATAGCAATGATCTAATTCAATTTACCTAATAAATATGAAATATTATCATAAGATACTATAAAATAAAAAAAAATGATAAATAAGAATTAATATTGCAAATTGAAGATCAGACTATATTTATTTTAAGAAAGATAAAAAATTAAAAAATCAAATCTTAATATTATTTTGAAAAGGTGAAACACCTTTGAAATATTTAACCTAAATATTCATTTTACCACAACTATAAGATTGACTATAAAGCGTTTAAAAAGAAATGCAACGACAAATTATGTTGGAAAATTGCAAAAGCTGATGATAAAAATACATTAGAAGATTAGGAAGGAAAATTTATGAAGATTGTAGAAAAACAATAAAAGACTAATGAAATGATAAATATCCAACTCATAGCTTTTATTAATTACTTTTCAAAGAGGAATTTTATTTCCTTTTATTTTATTTAACAAACAAAGTTTTGACTTTTTAATAGCATACTTTCAATAGAATAGAATTTTAGGAGTGGAAATGTTAAAAATGAAAGAGTGAAAATGAAATTTGTGATAGAATTGGAATGTGCAACAAAGAGATATCTGTTAATATCATATGATAAGAAAATGAGGAAAAGAAAATAATGAACAAATATTTGTGCCTGAAATGAATGAGAAATGCCTACGGTTAGAGAGTTAAACATTTTTTAGGTACCATATATCTGACTGCAGCACATATGCACAATTATTGATTTGTTCACATGAAAAAGGCCCTTAAATAGAAGAGGCCTATGCTTTAAGCTCAATAATCTACCACATATAAAACATCAACTGAGTATTATATTGAAGTGATTGCTTTCAGGATATATCTATTGAGTAAATAAGCCATTTTTACAGGATGATAATTATACAAAAACAAAAGGAAAATTATTTAATTAAAAAAGAAATAAACAAAATTTATAAAACAATGCATTTTTGGTATAAATTAGAAGAATTCAAAGTTTTCGATTTTTTCCGTAAATATTTTGAAATTTTTCTTTTTTTCAAAACTTTCCATTCTATTTTTTCTTGCAAATTATTCGATATTATTTGGTGAAATTATTTCAAATAATTTACTATTATTAATTATTATTGATAAATTAATTATTATTGATAAATTTTAATGAAAGTATTGTTTTTATTAAGTTTCTTTCAATAATTCTTCCCATGAAATAACACAAAAAAGAGAGCTATTATGCAATTAATAGTAATTAATTTGTTGTCCATTTATTTTGATTATAAAAAATAATTTATGATAATAATAATAATAAATTATTTATGGGTTAGGATTAATAGTAATTAATTTGTTGTCCATTTATTTTGATTATAAAAAATAATTTATGATAATAATAATAAATTATTTATGGGTTAGGATTAATAGTAATTAATTTGTCGTCCATTTATTTTGATTATAAAAAATAATTTATGATAATATTAAATTATTTATAGGTTATGCAAATTTTATTATCATCTATTATTCTTAATTACTTTAGTAATTTAGCAAACCAAATTCATTTAAATATTAAGTAAACTTTGATATTATTCATCTTGTATATTTTAATAAATAATTGAGAAATTTTCGATTTAAATCTGAAGAATTGAAGAATTGACGAATTTTTGTTAGCTCGCACATTATTCGACCAGAACAACAGAAACAGTCCAGTTTGCTTCCGGAAAAACGGAATGCTACCATACAACAACAGGATAATATGTTGTATTCTCTAGCGAAGAAAGATTATTTCAACATTAAAAAACTTGAAATCATTTTTACTACCAATTATCATTTCTTATAATAAGTATGTATACAAAAGTATGATAACATATATGTGCATACATTTATATATATATATATACTAGCATGTTATTATTTGAAAATATTTCAGATTTAAAATTCCAAATGATATTCTTAGATATGGATAGCAATATTCTTCTTCTAATCTTTTTTTAAAAAGTTCAAAGTTCGCTTTATCACATGACAATATGCATTTTAATCAAAATTTCAGTCAATTGTAAGTTGTTTCTTTCTCGTTACTAATTAAAATGATGAAAGAATATGTAGAATTATACATATACATGTATGTAACGAATGAAGTTAAGCCTAGTAACAATATATGCATATGTAATTATGGTATGAAAGTGTAGTTATAAATGGTAAATATAAATGATTAAATCTAAATTTCACCTTGACATAATTATGATTTATAATAGAGATTAAAATATAACCTCTTTGAGCTGCATAAAAATACCCTTTGTTAAATTTTAGAAAATTATACAGTCAATTATTTGTATCATGAAGTATAATTAATTTGCATCATGAGTAATATACCTAAAAATTGATAATTAAATATCGTAATAACTTCTCACATTGTAATAATATATAAAATATTATTATGGCAAGCTAAATGCTACGATAATATTATAAATGCTGCAATAATAAGCAAAATATCATTGTAAATGAATTTTACCATAATAAAACAAAATAATAGATAATTATTACACAATATATCAAATGCAATCAGTAAATGCTTACGATTACGATAGCATGTAAGGCATTACTGTAGGGTTAACTATTACCGTAACATGCAAAATATTACTGTAGCAAACAAATTGCAATATATATTCTAAACTGCATTACAATCCTACATTACAATATTGATAGAAAGAAATTGGGAATTGAGCGACAATGAAACTATCAGAAAATACTCCGTTATCCTGCTGATCAAATATGAGGAAGAAACTCATCT